AATATTTGCTTCAAAATGTTTTGTGGCCATCAAAATGCTTCATTGTGTTTTTTGTTTTTTTTGTGGAAAATCTACAGTTATGGTTGACGGGATGCAGAATAAATGTAAAACAATGGCACATCCATATTTTAAAGCATATCTTTGTTATTGCTTTTCAAAAAAGTCCTATTATTTTCTAGAAGAAATAATCCAACAATGATTCATGTTTTAACTGCTGCAGTTCAGGCTGTGTTTTACTCAAACTATGTTCATTTATCTTTTCAGAAACTAGAAGGTGTTAGCTTTCAAACGATGTATCACACATGTAATTTAGTTTTACAGTCCCCAGTTATTTGTTTTTCCATTTGGGTATGCACAAAGGCAAGGATAACTTAAGAACTTGAGCGCCTGAGCATCAAAGGCAGGGGACGCGCTTCAGAAGCAGCAGCTGGAGTTAGAAAAATGTAACTTTAGCTGCTGGACGCGCCACATCAACCAATCAGAGAAGCTGATCTGGGAGCTGGCAGGGAGACAGACACAGCACTGCTGATGCAGAGCGCTATGATCACTCCTCTGAAACAGTTTATTAACGCCTAAATTAACTTAAAATGTAGAAACCTGCCGGCAGAATATGTTCGCTTTTATTATGCTGGTTCCTGCAGTTTGGATTACGTACATGAAAAACGCTAACAACTACTTCCAGCCGCTGTGAACACTAGCAGAAAACTGCGAAGAGGCAACCGGGCCAGGGGCTGCTGTTGAAGAGATTCCCAGTGACAGCGCACCGCCGGTGTATGGGGGTCTAAACGGCTCCCACAGAGAAATAATCTTTGAAGGCAGGATGGTAATCTGGATCAACTGACTGCACTGATGATGTTTTCAGGTGAACTTTCTCACTTCAACATAGATTCAAACTACTTTTTACCCACAGATCACAGCAAATATAGCTTCCATTTGTGAGAGTATAATTGTGCCTTTTCTCTGCCTAAATAGGGATGATTATTTAGAAGCCTTGATTCAGTCTCTGCTAGAATGTAGGAAGTTGAGGCAGGGTGTGATAACACTAAACCCTCTCTACTCTAGAGAAAGATAAACATGTATTTACTGTGTACAAGGTTCTCACATCCTCCTTCTGTTGTGAACGGAAAACAGTTATCTGAAATCTTTATCTTGCTAAATGTATGTGTTTGACTAATTTAGCTTTTTTTATATTATTTAAAGGGCAAGGCTGTTTTTTTTTTTTTTTTTTTTACATTGGGCCCTTGATTTTACGTTATTCCATCATGTTCTACTCACCCATATGGGTTTTGTGTCATTTGGAGCTGTTCTGAAGATATTCCATTACTGTAGGTTATATCCAAGTAACGTCTTCCTATGGGAAACGACTTGAAGGCACAAACTAAACTGTTCATAATTTATTCTTTATGGTACACCAGCATTCAGAACATGTAGGTGAATCACTGTCCCCCAGACATCCGCGGTTATATTTTTTATATTTATATCTTTTAAAAACAAAGCAGCGTGTGTTTGACGTTTCCCGCACGCACAGGCTACCATTCATTCATCCTGTCCTCTGAACTGCTGCTGGTTTTCCTCACATGCCTGGAAGATGTCTAGTGCTGCTACCACAGATGATCTTGCTCTCCAAATGGAATTGAACGATTCAGATTAGCTAGAATGAATAGAAGGGGTAGAGCGTAACCGCCTGTGGCCTGGGCTGCCTGTCACAACTGCAGTCCGGCGCACGGATAATGTCATACACATTAAAAATAGAAAGCTGGCTCCTTGGTTTAATGAGAAGTGCGCACTTTGAAGCGTAATGCTGGGAAACTGGATAGAAATTATCGCTCCACAGGCCTACGGGAATCCTACCTAGTCTGGAAAAATAGTTTACTGCTGTATAAGAGGACCCTTTGTAAAGCAATAGCAGCATATTTCTCCTCATTAATAGAGGAGAATAAGAATAATCCTAGATATCTTTTTAATACAGTTGCCAAACTCACCCAGAGCCATAGCTCTGTTGAACCATCCATTCCACCTACTCTTTGCAGTAATGATTTTATGAGATCCTTTCACTATATAGTCCCTGCTCTGTATAGTGATGGAGGGATTTAGGGGTTAGAATGGACGTTCAGACACGGCTTCAGCCTCATCATGTGTCCTGCATTGTGTAGTATGCAGGGGGTAAGGAGGGACAATCAGTCATGTTTGAAATTCAGTCGGCCCTTGTGAGGTGTTGGTGAGTAAATCCTGCTGTTAAAGCAGAGCTATGAGCCGATTTACCAGAACTTCCATCGCTGCACATGTGCAACAAGACAATTCCTCTTCTTCCAGATTGATGAGTCCGACCAGTGCCATCTCTTGGTGCTGAGTCAGACGTGCGGTTTTTAGACGTACACTGTGAGCAGATAGATCGCATCACAGCGTCGGGTTGTACAGTGGAAGAACTTACATTACAAGCTGCTGACTTTTAAACTCTGTGGTTTTGTCAAACAGTTTGAGCTGTAGCTGAGTACAAAGATTAAAAATATTATTTAGCCGAGTCACAGCTGAGTATCAACCGCATCCACACAGTGCATGAGGTGAATGCAGGACAGAGGCTGTGTTGGACTGAAATGCAGGGAGAAATCTGTTCTAGTACAACAGAAAAAAACCAAAAACATTATGTTTACATTATATTAACATCACACTTTGTAATTGGGTGAGGGATCACTGGAAGCTTTGTACATATGAAACAAATTTTTATAGTTAAAACACAGTGAAGTAATTCTTCTTTCTGCTCAGTCTACAGGCTGAGAGCGACCACCTGTTGGTGCTTTGGAGGTGGGAGGGGCTCAGAGGGGCAATCTGTTCTCACCAACGGCTTCAACAACAGGAAACATTAAGCAGCAACGGGCTCCATGCCACAACATTTTCATAATCTTTCTCTGACTCTTTCTCCTACTGTGGGCTTTTACCAACTTGACACGTCAGATTCAACAAATGCTCTTCACTTTAGTAAATAATCATAAATAATTCACCTAAACTTGATGCAGTCTACCTGTACGTATGGGGGGGCATTCTAGTCTGCTGCCAACATTCGACCCATTACAGTTTGCCTACCAACACAACCGCTCCACTAAGGACGCCATCTGTGCTGCTTTCCAGCTGAGCCTGGCACACCTGGAGGAGAAGATCCCCCACGTGCGGTTGTACTGTTTCAGCATTTAATATAAAAAGAGGATAAAACCAAAACCATTTGATCTAAAAACAGTATAAAAAAAAACTACTGATGGAGGCAAGAGGTTAAACATATGCTTTATATATTTAATACGTTTAAGATCAACATGACAACATTCTGCTATATCTCCTTTTAATACACAGACACAGGTGCAGATACATCTCTGGACTAAGTCTGCATCCCTTCATCTCTGCTCTCCATCTTTTATGCATAAACACATATAAAATGTTGACACTAAAACTTAAATTGAACCAAGTCAGACGGACCCAAACACAAACATTCAGTATAATAATAAAGCCAGGTAGCTGCCATGGAGTACAATGATTGCAAGTCTCACAGTTAGAAAGGCTTTGCTGGGCTTTCTATCCATTCACTGTTCCAGATGTTAGATAGTAGCTTGATTTCCGACTCTTTCTTTCTTTTGATGAAATGACTACAAATTTTCAGTGTTGGGATGCTGATATTTTGGAATTAAACATCTTTTTTAACTGTTCTTTGTCTTGAAACTTAATACGCTCTGGATACCGACATGCCAGCTGCAAGTATAGGTTTAGGTTCCCTACTCCGCAAAGCTGTATACTCCTTCACTCTCTCTCCCTATTGGAACTGTTGATCAAATGTAAAAGTGTAAAATGTTTTAAAAAAAACAAACAAAAAACAATCATTTACAACCTCTTTTTGTTGGATCCAAGTCAATTAATAAGATTGCAATTCAAGGAGAACTCCAACCCCCCGTCTTTCTTCAAAATAGGATCAAATCATCCTTACTCATAACTTTTTTTCAAATCTAGCCATTTTACTTCTCACCAATTTATATATTTAATGTCTTACACAGTGGCAGTTCTAGACCAAATGTACCAGGGGGCCAGAAGGGGGCCAGCGTGCTTTCATGGGGGCACCAAAAAGCATGAAATAAAAAACAAAGCAAGGGTTTCAAATATATTAATACAGCTGCATGAAGTGAAATTTCTATTCAATTAGGTTCAATTAAAATTCTATGTCTTATTGCCAGTAGGTCAATATACATTCAGAATTTAGGAATTTCACATATTTTTGACTTAATTTAAGTTAAAATTACAATTTTTCTTAATAAAATCTGAATTAAAACTCAAGAAAAACTGATAAATTCAGCTGTAAAAAATTGTTAAAATTTGATTTGGAATAAAAAACATTTAGCAGATGAAAACTTGGATCCTATCACAATACCACTGAAGCTATCGCCTCATTGTTTTTAAATAATTAATGAAACAGAATTTATATTAAAAAGAAAAAAAAGAATGAAATAGATCCAAAGGACCTATCAGAAGCCATGTCTGTTCTAGCGCATATCATCATTAGAATTTCTTTGAGTACAGTCTTTAGTACGGGGGTCATAATAGGGGCCAGGTCGTGATCTACAGGGGTACTGGCCCCTGTTGGCCCCTGTCTAGAACCGTCCATGGTCTTACGGCTCATAAAGTAGACAAATAGTGTTACCCTGTAAGATTCTAGGTGTGGGATGATATGATGTGTCTTTTTTTCATGTTTTGAAGGAGTTTAAATGTAAGGAGATGCAAAACAGAAGTTTAAACCATTACATTGGTACACATTTGATTTTGTATGTGACATTATATTTCGTATTATTTCTTATTTATCTGCCAGAACACAGCTCGGAAACAAATAATTCATTGCCACACCCCTTTGTTTAGAAATAAATAGTTGATCTTTTTGTTATACAGAACCAGTTTGCCTGTCAGATCATAAAGTCTGATAAAACTGTAAATTAGCCAAACCTTTTCTTATTCTTATATTCTGCACTCACCTGACCTCTCTATAAGCACGCAGATGTTGCCCTCTGGGGCGCCAGTGCCCAGACACCCCGACCATCCAGAGGAGGATGCTGAGCAGCACCACATCTGTATGCATGATGTCCACAATCCCAGCCTTCTCCTCCACGCCACTCAAGTCTGCAGCCTGCTCCACAGTCTGTCAGCACACAGCATGACTCGCTCTGAAAACATAGGAAGAATTTATACATAACATCAAGGTCTTTAATCTCTTAGACGATGGGGATGCAGTTAGCCTGCAAATCTCTACGAGTCAAATAGCACGGATTTACTCAGTGCGCCCACTGGAGTCAATAAAGCCACAGTACGTCCCACTTTGATCCTGATGGTGAGAGAGGAAGGGAATTTGATGATGGGGATCACAGGAGTGGTTTAACAGAGCCACTTGTTCGGCTATTTGTCAACACCTGGATGCATTATTTTACGGTACTCACTCCATGAAAAACCTGCAGATGGAGGAACTGGTCACCGCTTGCATGCCACTCCCCCATTCATCTTTTCCAATCCTATTCAACTTGTCTTACACATGTATGGTGTCCCAGGCATTATGATCCATCATCACAGACACATAGAGGCATTGCTATGCTCCAGTTTGAATCAATTAACACTGAGTGGTGTGTAGAATATTATGTAACAGTCTGATAATCCTATTGGCCACAGAAGGCCTATAAACTGTGGCAGGGTAATTCCACCAGGCTTTAAATTCTAACATCTTCCTCATCTACTCTGCACTATAAAAGAAAAAAAATTACGTTGTTCCTTTTTTTTCCCCCTTGTAAGCCACAGAATATGTTGCAATATAAAATATATATACATATAAACATCTATCTATATAAATACCCATATAAACACCCTGTGCAATAACCCTATATAATAATCCTACTATAAAAAAAAAGCTGTGAAATGTGGACGCACTGTATATACTGTATATATCCCATGCACTTTTCTCTTCCTTTGGCTCATTCTTCGTCTCCTATGACTACTTGAGATGATGTAATGAGGTGATGAGGACATTTCTCCACCGCGAGATCAATTAAGTCAGTCAGTCAATCAATCAATCAATCAATCAATCAATCAATCAATCAATCAATCAATAATAATACAATGGAGCAAAGAGAGGGTCACCATAGTTTGGCTATATTTGAAATAAATCCAATGAAATTAAAGGTAGCTTTGAAAAACGATTGTCAGAATTTTACCTTTTGAGTTTCAAAGTGAAGAAAGTGCATATTGAACACACAAACACACCCAGTTATAAGTTGGTTTAGGTCACTAGTTATCCACTGTCTGTGGAAAGGCATCTTACTTTCTGGTGTGGATTGTATTTTTCAAATGTAAATCAATTCTTTTTATTCATCCTTAAGTACTTTAAGTACTTAAGGATGCAATGTGATGAAATGAGTCTCGGATTGAAGGTTCTGATGCTTCTGTGGGTGACCAGCACATCATGAAGAGGATGTGGGAATTGTGCTGAATTGATTTTATCCTGGCCAACACTCTCTTCCCTGACACTGCAGTCAGAGAGTCCAGCTCCTCTCCAACACTGTCACTGGCCTTGTGGATGAGTTTAAGTCTGTTGGCGTCCTTCACTTTCAGTCGGCTTCCCCAGCAACAGGGGTGCCTCTAGAAATGTTTCATAGGGGGGGCCAGATGGTGCCTCTGAAATTCTTGGGGTGGCACAAAGAAACATAATATCAAGATTTTATTCTACTGCTGTGGTAAAACTGCCTGTGGAAAACTATCATAAAGATCTAAGTAAACCCCTGCTCATATCTTTTGGCTTATTGTGTGATTATTAATGTTACTACTGATCTAATGTGCACAGACATAGACCAGTTAACATTTGGAGTTGAACAATAGTTGTGTTTTATTTATATTTGAAATAAGTTGTACATTTATTCATTTTTTTAAAACTTAAAATGACTGGTGGTCCAGGAACAGGTGGAACTCCTGCTTTCACTGAGTTCTGCTGCTTCTGTCATCAAAGCTGCTGACTGTCCCTGCTCTGCTGCTGGTTGATGCTTTTCCCAAACACTGTCCTTTACTAATGCTGCTCTGTGTCCTCATCATGCTGCTGGATCTGTTTCTCTCCTGCATCCTCCTCCTCACTCTCCTTCTCCTCCTCCTCCTCTCTCTTCTCCTCCTCCTCCTCTTCTTCTCCTCCTCCTCCATCCTCCTTCTCTCTCTCCTCCTCCTCTCCCTTCTCCTCCTCCTCCTCCTCCTTCTCTCTCTCCTCCTCCTCTCCCTTCTCCTCCTCCTCCTCTTCCTCCTCCATCTCTCTCTCCTCATCCTCCTCTCTCTTCTCCTCCTCCATCCTCCTCTTTCTCATCCTCTCTCTCCTCCATCCTCCTTCTCTCTCTCTTCCTGCTCTCCCTTCTCCTCCTCCTCCATCTCTCTCTCCTCATCCTCCTCTCTCTTCTCCTCCTCCTCCTCCTCCTCCATCCTCCTCTTTCTCCTCCTCTTTCTCCTCCTCTCTCTTCTCCTCCTCCTCCATCCTCCTCTTTCTTCTCCTCCTCTCTCTTCTCCTCCTCCTCCTCCTCACTGGTTATCTGTTGCACCTGTCATCTCTTTCTCTGCTTCTGCTGTAATTCTTCTTTAAATCAGAGCAGATGTCTGTGGACTTTCTCTTCATGTGTGTAAATTGATCATCCATCCACAATCACCAACTCATCCAGTTAGCTACATAACTATATAAAAACACACTAAAAGCTGCTTTAACAGTATAATGTTACAGTTCACATATCCCCCTTTTCTTTCACAAACAAATGATTTTAATTATTGACCATTTGTTAGTTTTATATGCTTTCTCACTGTTTTTTTTTAGTAGAAAATTTCAATTTAAAAGAATAGGTGCAACTATATAAAGTGAACAAAAGGATAATCAAACTTTGTTATTCGTTTTCAGAAAAACCAAAGAAAAACCACAAAAAGAAACTCATTACAAACCCATATCAACAAAAATACTTTCCCTCTTAATTATCTACAGTGAAAAAATTCATGTTTATGCACAAACATTAATCAAATTGTCCAGTCCTGAAAATATTTGCATTTACTGAGCAGTCCGAAAATGTCCTGAGAAAGTTGTTTGTCGATGCTTATGAGTGATTTCCTGTGATTTTCAAAAAGTTCTGTGAACAGTTTCCAGCAATCCAGTGACTTATTTTCAAAAAGTTTAAAGTTCCTGTAAATGTATATTGAGTGTCTTGCGAGAGAAAAGATTATATTGCTTAAGGTGTGCAGATGAAAAGAGTGTTGTCTTTTTTTCTGTGTTCCAAAAAGTCTTATCCAGTCCCATTCTTTATTTACTTTGCTTTGGTTCCAAGCTTTCCATGATCTCAACAATTGCAATTTAATATGCAACATTTAGTCCAATTAAAAACATAGTGCACTTTAAAAAGATCTCCCTAAACCTTAATAGGGCAAGTTAGTGTTTTTAATCACTTGCATACCCCTTACAAATGTAGTCCCCCCCCCCCATAAATTATATATTACCTACTGTAAATTAAGTTGAGAAAAAAGTTAACAAGGAAAGAAAAAAAGGTAAAAAGCTCATTGAAAAGTTAAAATTGTATAAGTTAACAATTATATTTAGGTTTATAAACTAAACAATGTAAGTGCCAGTATCAGCATTAATGCCTCTAAGGTTATGTTGTACCAAACAAAAATATGTTTCCCTTAGTCTCAGAGTGTTTTTCATTAATTTTTATAGAAGCACTTTTGTTATTTTTCTTAATATATTCGGGCAAGTTGGCTTGTCTTGTTATTACCAATGTGACTAGCAGTCATCCAGGAATTCACAGGACTGCAGTACCACCAAATCACGGAGTAACTTCTGCTGCAATAAGATAGTTTTTAAGAATAAATATCTGCCGTGGACGAGCACTGATGCTGCTTGCAAACACAAAGGTTCCCACTAGGGATTTTAGTATATACACTATATTGCCAAAAGTATTTGCTCACCTGCCTTGACTCACATATGAGCTTAAGTGACATCCCGTTCCTAATCCATAGGGTTCAATATGACGTCGGTCCACCCTTTGCAGCTTGAACAGCTTCAACTCTTCTGGGAAGGCTGTCCACAAGTTTTAGGAGTGTGTTTATGGGAATTTTTGACCATTCTTCCAGAAGCGCATTTGTGAGGTCGCACACTGATGTTGGACGAGAAGGCCTGGCTCTCAGTCTCCGCTCTAATTCATCCCAAAGGTGTTCTATCGGGTTGAGGTCAGGACTCTGTGCAGGCCAGTCAAGTTCATCCACACCAGACTCTGTCATCCATGTCTTTATGGACCTTGCTTTGTGCACTGGTGCACAGTCATGTTGGAAGAGGAAGGGGCCAGCTCCAAACTGTTCCCACAAAGTTGGGAGCATGGAATTGTCCAAAATGTCTTGGTATGCTGAAGCATTCAGAGTTCCTTTCACTGGAACTAAGGGGCCAAGCCCAGCTCCTGAAAAACAACCCCACACCATAATCCCCCCTCCACCAAACTTTACACTTGGCACAATGCAGTCAGACAAGTACCGTTCTCCTGGCAACCGCCAAACCCAGACCCGTCCATCAGATTGCCAGATGGAGAAGCGCGATTCGTCACTCCAGAGAACGCGTCTCCACTGCTCTAGAGTCCAGTGGCGGCGTGCTTTACACCACCGCATCCGACGCTTTGCATTGCACTTGGTGATGTATGGCTTGGATGCAGCTGCTCGACCATGGAAACCCATTCCATGAAGCTCTCTGCGCACTGTTCTTGAGCTAATCTGAAGGCCACATGAAGTTTGGAGGTCTGTAGTGATTGACTCTGCAGAAAGTTGGCGACCTCTTCGCACTATGCGCGTCAGCATCCGCTGACCCCGCTCCGTCAGTTTACGTGGCCTACCACTTCGTGGCTGAGTTGCTGTCGTTCCCAAACACTTCCATTTTCTTATAATACAGCTGACAGTTGACTGTGGAATATTTAGGAGCGAGGAAATTTCACGACTGGATTTGTTGCACAGGTGGCATCCTATCACAGTTCCACGCTGGAATTCACTGAGCTCCTGAGAGCGACCCATTCTTTCACAAATGTTTGTAAAAACAGTCTGCAT